GCTGTCAGACCAAACGGCAGCAGCGGGGCCCAGAGACTCAGCAGGGTAGAGAGCTCGGCGACCCAGGGGGCGGTGGACAGGGCGATCACCGGCGGGGGCGGCATCAACATGCTCCCGGTGTGGTGATGAGGGCGCGCGGGGCGCGGGCGGCGGTGGCGATGGCGCCGCTGCAGAGGTCGGCGAGGATGGCGGACAGCCAGTGGGCCGGGTAGCCGGCGTGGGCGAGGTGGGTGGCGAGGCGGAGGAGGGCGGTGAGGTTGAGCGGGGAGTAGACGGGGCTCATGGTGGTGGTGTTGCGTGGGAAGGGTAGGCAGGTCTTGAGGAAGAAGGCGTGCAGCCATTTCTCGAGGACCGCGCGCGGGAGGAGGTCGTTGTTGCCGCGGGAGAGGCGCTTGGGACGGCACCCGCCCCAGACGATGTAGCCTTCGGCGACGAAGTCGAGGGAGGTGAGGTGGGGATAGCCGGTCATGCGCATGACTTGCAGCATGTCGGATTTATCCATGGGGCCGAGAGCTTCTTCGCCCTCGATGTACCCGGGTATGCGAGCCATGGCGAAGTGGTCCTTGATGCGCTTGTCGTCGTGCAACACCAAGTACTCGGACTGGAAGTGCTGGTGGGAATTGAACTCGGGGGGGTTCAGGAGGACGGTGAATCTCAGATTGGACTCGCCGCCTTCACGGAGCAGCGGTCGCGCGTAAAGAGCGAGGGGAAACATACCGCCGACGTAATCACTTTTTGGGGTTATTAGCAAAGATCTGAAAGTCAGACTTTGTGGTAGACGGTGAAAACTTACGGAATATTGCTCATGTGGATTCGGTCATACTGGCGGGGAAATCTAGCTGGATTGATTTTGGCATCCGGCAAAGGGGACCGGGCTTCGAGACAGTCCCAGCGAAGGCGCTCCATAACGTCAGTCATCTCCCCCACCATAGCTTCGATCATAAGCCGGTTCTCTCCCCCAAGTCTGGCCAGCATCAGAGCTGTGGTGGTGAAGAAATCTCCGACATTCTCAAGCACCCCTTTGTTGCTGGAGATTGCTGGAAACATGTTGGCAATCTCGGTGGGGTCGCCCTCAATGGCCGGTACCTCGTCCTCGTCGTCCACCATGGGATACAACGGGTCGTCGGCGTAGTTGCGGACTTCGGAATAGTCGAAGTCGATGAGGGTCAAGTTGGTGACCCAGTTTTCATCGATGTGAGCTGCAAGCTTTTGTTTGGCATCTTCAGATCCCTGTCTGTACCGCTTCATCAAGGCGACAAGCGGCTCATCTCGTCTCTCGGCGAAGCCTTTGGACGGAAGGACCACGCCGAGGTCTTCGAAACTCTTACGGTCGAGCTTGAAGCCTGGCTCCGTCTTCGTACGGCCGTCGTAGCCGTACATTGCCGACCTCTTGGCCCTCTCGTCATTGACCCTCTCTAAGATGGTGCGTCTAATGGTACCTGGGCTGTAACAAGCCTTTTGGGGAGGTTTCTGCCATCGGCAGAGAACCTGCGCAACCGCCTTGCGGGTTGTGGGAGAGAGATAAAGCCAGTCATATAGAGGCTCATGTTCGGTTTCAAGGCCTTGAAGGACGGCTTCAATGTGCGTTTGAAGCTTTTCGTTGACTGCTGCTGGTACAACCTGGGTAGCATACAGATATGCCATGATAGTGGATGCGTCCTCAATTCCCGGGGTCTTTTTGATCCTTAGGAACGAGTAAAAAACCATCATGTCAAGAAAGATGAGGGTCCGGGCGATTGCGGTCGCATTGATGTCCACGAGCGTGATGTGAAGGTCTTTGCAGATTCGTTTCTTTTGTGACATCTCCTGCATGCCCACCATGACGAGGGTGCTGAAGACATGACGACCGTCGCCGCTACCGCACCACATTAGGGATACCGAGTCCTGAGACGAAGAGGACTTTATCAGGCGCTCGTCGAAGAGAGATTCTGCCGTGTCGTGCCCGATGGCATAGTACTCGGGTGTACTCTCCAAACCGGTCATTAGTCGAGGGAGGCGATCAAACATCAACTTCCGATGCGTTGGTACATCCACGGCACTTCCTGCCGTCGCCCAGGCGGTGAGGGCTTCCAGGCTACCGAGGACATGGTCGGCGGCAGCACCATCCCTTATTTTCTCGGAAATGCTTCGGGCCTCCTCAAATCGTCTCCCGTGTATGTAGCATTTTGCGAGGCGTTCATGGAGAGTCTTCTTCTTCTTGACCGCTGCGTCTGAATCATCCTGCGTGAGCTGAAGAGACTTGAGGATGTATTCGATGGCAGAAGAATAGTCTCCCAGCTCAAACTTGACGCTAGAAAGATTGGAAAATGGCGATGGGTCGTTGGGTGCGAGTGCGGCCGCCTTCTCATATTCGCGGCCGGCTGTGGGTGAAGTAGGTGTAAGTTTGTATTCGGTCAACGACGGTGAAAATTCGAAGTTCTCGAACAAAATTGGGTTTGGACTTTGGAGGTGAAAGACACCGGGGGCCAGGGCACCCACCTTCTGCGAGCTTCCCGAGCTTGTACAACTCGTTGCCCTGCTTTCTAATGGTTTCAGCCATGGTCGTATCCGGGGACGCCATTTTAATGCGAGTTGTTGACTGCTTTCCCGGCACCGCTAGCATACATGTACGGTATGTTGGGGGATTGCGGGGCCATGAAACAGCGATTTCCCCATAACGCGCACACCCCCAAAGCGGGGCATCTTTTTACGCGACACACCTTCCTATCTTCTACAGCTGTCCCTACCAAAAGTCTTTGCTCACCGCACATTAAACTGTTAGTGGTTATGGGCCTTTTTCTGCTAAGCAGAACTACTAGAATTTGGAAAGCGGTCAGCAAAGTTTTTGGCAGGGACTTCCGTCCACCACTTTTCTCCCCAACCAAAAATGGCAATCCCTTCCAAAGAAAGCCAGATAATCTTGGCGATTGAAGCCATCCGGCAAGGCAAAAAAGCTTAGCCGTCGGAAAGCCGCGACAATCTACAATGTGCCTGAAAGTACTCTCCGCTACAGAATGAACGGACGAACGTGTTGGAAGACCAACAGCCACTGACCCAAGATGTCACACACACAGGAAGATGGATATTCACACGGCTGAGCCTAGGAGGCTGAGACTCTGCCAAAGTCAATTGTCATTGTCCCCCTCTCCCCTCTGTAAGGGGGGTTCCAAACCCGTGATATTTCTTTCTGAGCAGCGATGGTGGCACCGCATGCAACCGCACCTGGCCTAAGTCGAGTGATCTTCTCCGGCCTAAGCCGACCGATCTCTTGCCACCACGTTCTGGGCCTTGACCCATTGACCCTCCTGTGCTCAGACCTCCTGGTCTACCTTCCAACAGAACGCCAAAGCTAGAGTCGCGTCCTGCAGCCCATAGATTGACAATCACCGAGGAAGAAGCAGTTGTCCATTACATACTAGACCTAGATACGCGAGGATTCGCGCCCCAATACGCTGGTGTTGAAGATATGGCCAATTTGCTACTCGCGCAACGCGACGGCGGACGTGTCGGTAAGCACTGGGCCGAAAAGTTCGTCAAGCGACAACCAAAACTCAAGACGCGTTTCAATCGCGCATATGACTTCCAGAGAGCCCTCTGCGAAGATCCAGAGCTTACTGGCGCGTGGTTCAAGCTTGTGCACAACATGAGAGCGAAGTACGGCATCCACGACTGCGACTTCTACAACTTCGACGAGACCGGCTTTATGATGGGCGTTATCTGCGCGTCTATGGTAGTGACACGCGCTGATCGACGTGGAAGGGGCAAGGCAGTTCAGCCTGGCAATAGGGAATGGGCAACGGCGATTGAGTGCATCAATGGCGAAGGGTGGTGCCTCCCGCCGTTTCTGATCGTGCAAGGCATGTACCGCCTCGCAAACTGGTACACGGAGAGCAACCTTCCGCTCGACTGGGCTATCAAACCAACTTCCAATGGGTGGACCGACAACGAGACCGGCGTAGAATGGATCAAACACTTTGATAAGCACACAAAGTCTCGTACGAAGGGTGAGTATCGGTTGATTCTGCTTGATGCGCATGAGAGTCACATGTCGGCCAAATTCGAAGCCTTTTGCAAGCAGAACAACATTGTCACCATCAGCCTGCCGGCTCACTCATCCCATATAACCTAGCCACTCGATGTTGGTTGTTTTAGTGTCCTGAAAACGGCGTACGGTCGGCAAATCGAGCACTTCGTCAGAGCGCATATCAACCACATCACCAAGGTCGAGTTCTTCCTCGCCTTCAAAGCCGCCCACTTTGCCGCCATGACCGAGAGCAACAGCAAAGGGGGTTTCAGAGGTGCAGGTCTAGTACCTTTTGACCCCGATTCAGTGATATCCAAGCTGGATGTCAAGTTACGGATGCCAACACCAACTGGTCCCCCCCCCCCGCCGCTGCCGATCCTTGGTCCTCCCAGACGCCACGGAACCCAACAGAGGCTGTCTCGCAATCCGAGTAAATCAAAAGTCGGATTGCCCGTCACCAGGGAAGCTTGCCGACGCAAATTCTCACTGTTGTCGACCAGCTTGCGAAGGGGACGCAGGCGTTGGCGCACTCGGTTGCCCTAATGACGGGTGAGATACGTACCTTACAGAAGGCAAATGAGGCACTGAGCAAGCGCCGAACGGCCAAAAAAACACGTGTGCGTCTTGGAGGATTACTTACTGTAGGAGATGCACATGATCTATTAGCCCAGAGAGAGGTGCAGGAACAGGTAGAGCGTGAAACGCGGGAAAATGGTGGTCGGCGGGGTCGAACAGAGACGGCTCCACGGCGTTGTGGCAAGTGTGGAAAGCCTGGGCACAATGCGCGCACGTGTCAGGGAGATGTGGTAATGTCAGATGTATATAACTCTGTATAGTTTCGGTGTATTATAGGCGTTGTGGTGGTGTAATTAATGTTTCTTGTCGTGTGGTTGTGAAAAAGTGCGCCGCTTGGGGGTGTGCGCCGCTTGGGGGTGTGCGCCGCTTGGGGGTGGACCACGTTAACGAAAAAGTTTCAGAACAATATTGTCCTCCGGACAGGATAAGACGACTTATCATGAGTTTGGGGGCAGCTCCCGTTCATTGGATGGCACCCTATCCCTGACAGGAGAGCAATGGAACCGGGCCCATCCGAACCAGCCCAATCCTGAACGAACAGTGTGCATGTGGACGATGGTGTTGGTCATATCTTGGTCCGTGGTTATATGGAGCCCTATAACAATGAATACGGTAATATTTCGGCTCTGTTAATGAATTTGTAATTGCCTGTAAGTATGCCGTTAGATATGTACATGCACCTATGTTTTGATCTTTGATGCGGGATAGTTTTGCATAGGTACCTAATTAGACTAAAGTCGATGACGTTAACTGATGTCAGTGAGTCGTGTGACTCGTGTCTTTGATGTTATGTTGGGACGAGGCGCCCCAGGTTTTCTCGCCAGGGCTATTAATTCCAGTGCGCTTGGATTGTCCTTGAGCTTCGTGGTCTGCCAGGTCGTAGAGGAAACTCGTTATTGCCACGAGTATTCCGTATCTTGACCGTACTCTGGTTTCTCTTTTATTCCTTATTGAATTGAGAAATCGAGTCGGGAACAGTGAGATTCTCACTGCACTCCAATTGAATCATGATCCCCCTAGTTGCATGGTTAGCGCGTATCCCATCACAATGCCCCGTTAATCGTGTAGCCCTAGATCCATGGCCAAATGCCCTCGCCACAAATGCGACTAAAAGTAGCCCGGGGGTTATTTATCCCTGAGTTACCCCGCATGCCTTTGATAAGACAAGCGTTGTTTGCCATCGCTCACATGGGATGACATGGCAAATGGCATGCGTGTATTTTTAGATGGTTACTGCCCGGAATCGAGATGTTGGCTTCCCCGAGAAGCCCGGGCATTATGGAGGTCCATCTTGCTGGGCATTTCGGCCCTGCATTGTGGCTGGGTAGCCAGCCGTTGGTGATTGATCATCCACGACAAACCAACGGCCAAGGCGACCGAAGATGCTCGCTCGGAAGAGGTTGAACTCCTCGTGCTCCGTACAAGTTTCATAATCTGCCGATGCATGTACCGGTTCTTGTGCATCCAGCTTTGCTTGAGGGCAGCCCAATCGACACGCCAAATACGGGTAGTCAGGGCCCAGACATCCATACCTCGGCCTGTGGGGTGCTTTGGAAAGAAAACGATGGGAGGGGGGACTCGAGGGAAGTTCCAGATCCGAATTGCCTTGAGTTCACATGTGACACTCGGAGCACAGTCTCGTAAGCGGTACAGGGCATCTCAGTGGCTCCCCGCCGTGCCCGCCCCGTTTCTGCCCCATCCAACCATGTGGAAGAACCCCAAACCCAGACACGGTGGGGCCCTGTGTTTTTGGATGCATTTTGCCGTTGGCATCTGATCTCATCCCGTTCTTGCTGGGAGTCTCCCCGTCATCCCGCTCAGCTGACGTTGTCCCACCTGAAAAGACCCAAGAACCTCGTTTTGCAACCATGTCCGTCTCCCAGTACAATAATTGACGTCTGCACACCCGATGCAGTTCTTATATTTTTGAATATTGGTTATTGCAACTTCTGGCCCGGCCCTGCGCTGCGCCGCAACATTTGATACCTACCTATATACCATTGCCCCTCTGCCTACTTCTCGGCGCTTTTGGTCCGAAGTCAGGGTACCGAACGACACCGAACCCAGACGAAACTGGATCATCCCACACCGGCTGGCCAAAAACAGTTTGCTTGCCGCCACGAACGAGCCCAGCGACTGCTAAAGGGTTGGATGCCGGGTGGCCTCTCGTAATTCTTAATTAAATACCACGGGATTGAGTCGCCAACCGAAGCTGTCGAACGAGCGATCGAGCGAGAACGCACAGAGAATCGGGCCCGCGGGCGACGAGTCGATTGGGAAGGATATCGAATCGAATGAACTCGCGATTGGCCTAATCCTCGATGTCAATGTCAAATTGATTCCGACCACCGGCACCGCTGGTTTCTCCCGTCTGTGGTCAACAACAGCAAGATGGAGGAGCAGGGTCGCAGTCACATGCTGGCCGCCGACCGCCCGCCGCTGACGCAACCTGCACCGCCGAGAGCGGATTCGGGGCCGCATGAGGCCGCAATGCAGCAAACAACGGGCACCACAACTTCAGCGGGATTGCCCACAGATGCATCAAGATTAAACACAGGCCCGCTTTCCGTCAGCCATGATACCGACGAGGCCAAGCCGGCGAACGGCTACTCGGCCCAGAGAAATGCCCCGGTGTCGCTCCAACTCCCGCCTCTCGCACTCGAATTACCTCCCATCCAGCCCTCTCAAGAGCTATCCGCGGGCCCTTCAGCCCACACCTTACCGCCGCTCTCGTCTGTCACGGGCACCCACGGCCATGCGCCGCTCCCGAAACCACCGGAACCGTCCCATCCCGCCCCCCAACCAACCCACTGGCCCAGCCTCAACCCCTTCACAACATATTACAAACCCAGCTACCTCGACCCGGTGGAGTCACCGCCGAGCATGTCGTCGGACCTGGGCCCGAGCCGCAGCGTGAGCCTGGATGACCCCGACGTCAGGATTGCCGCCGAGGCACTGGGCCAAATGAGAACAGGTGCGTCGCTATAACATTGTTTGGTTTCGATACTCCAAAATGCTGATCCTTCTTCTCCCGAACAGAGTGTCCCTCGTCACCCCGCAGAACGTCCCGAGACCACAAGACCTCGAGTCCGTCGCCGCATAGGCGTAACGGTAGCAGGGGCGTCGAGCCATTACTGTCGCTCATCACGACGTCATATCCGCTACTAGGCACCACGATCGAAGGCGCTGCTTCTGCCTACAATACCGGCAAGAATTACTCGCCCCACATTAAGTCTGGCGCCGAGTACGTCGAAAGTCTGGTCAAGCCGGCGGTGGAAACGGTGGGTCGGAAGACAGGCGTGGAGGGTGGGATGAGGTGGCTCTTTTCGATGCGGGGCCGGAAACAGCGCTCGACCACGGATATCGAGACGGACGAGCGCGGGAACAGCAAGCGGCGCCGGTCGGACAGGCACGACAAGGGCAAGAAAACTGCGCACGCCTCCCCGCACGACTCGGGTGCCGATGGCGAGGACCGCCGTATGTCGGTCAGCACCGTCGACACGCTCCCCGCCTATGACGACCAGAAATCGCCCGCATACACCGAAGCGGCCGAGGACCAGACGACGCCGCCGCCCCCGGGTTCTTCCCAACAATGGGGCCAGCGGTTCGTTGTCACCACCTCTGGACTGGGCGTCGCCATGAAGCAGGAGAGTATGAAAAGCCTAAAGTACTGCCTGGGAGTAGTCAAAGACACCAACGGGTACCTCCAAGACATTCTTGTCAAGCTCCGAGGCGTCATCGACGAGTACGACCGCACATCCCAAGCCGACGGCGGCGGCGACGGCGAACAGAACAACAACCCAACCGCCAACCACCGCCCCGCCCCCACCCCCGCCACAGCCGAAGACCGCAGCCGCCTCCTCCAGCGCATGAACGAGCTGCGCGACGAGCTCTTCCGCGTGATCCACCGCTCCGTGCAAACCGTCTCCAAATACACCGGCGGCGCCCTCCCCGAAAACGCGCGCAACCTCGTCCACAGCCAACTCATGAGCCTCCCCGGCCGCTACCAATTCCACTACATGCGCGAGACAGAAGGGCGGCGCGGCGGCGGCGAGGAGACCGCTGACGCCGGCCCCGGCGCGCGCACCCGCGACAGCGCACACCTCGCGCTGCTGTTTGCCAAGGAGGCGCTGGAGATGATGGCGCAGGTCGGGGAGGTGCTGACGAGGACGGTGGTTAGTGCCGAGCAGTGGTGTGAGACGCTGTATAAGGAGAAGAGTGAGCAGGCGCCGGCGATGCAGGGCGGCGAGGATGGGCTACCGTTGACGTCGGGGGCGGCGGCGGCGGCGGCGGGGGTGAGGGTTGTTCCTGCTCCTGTTGCTGCTGCTGCTGCTGCTGTTGCTGTGGATCGAGACGTGGATATGTCTGGTTAGGCGTTGGGGGGGTGGGGGCCATGGAATCATGGGAGGAGGTTCCGGATTGTGATGCTGCTTTGGTTGGTTATTAGTTGGTTGGGCTTTGGGGGGAGGGGGGATCACGGTTGGTTCAATGGGCTGTTAGAGGAAGGGGACGGCGGGGCGGGGGCAAAAAGAACCGTGGCATCCACTTGGCTTGGGGGAATACCTTTTTCGATTGTTACGTGTTGGAACGTCTGCTTTTCTGTTTGATCGTCCTGGGAGACCCGGTTGGTTGATGACGGTCCCACCTACACTCTTTTGTTTCTCTTTGTTTGTTTTAGTTTTGTATCGCTACTAGTACCCAGATACCAAATGGCATGGCTGCCTTTTCTTTCGTCCATATCAGTTGTCAGTTTGAAGATGTGGTTTCTCAGCCTGGCTTGGTAGAGTGTCCACTGCTTCCATATCCTTTCCATATGGCACTCCTCATCGAAGTATACTGGAAGAAAGGTTTAGCCCTTCTGCGTGGGATGGAGGAGCCGATACCTGCCCAACGGAGCGGTGATGGAGGCGAGACGACAGGGGCTTGTAAAACACGGTTAGGGGTTAGGGTTTAAGAATTTCAACGGATCAATTCAAATGAGATAATGAGTGTATTCGTACAAACCCTCCTTCATTATCATCCTACCATCGGTCATCGAAAGTGAAACTTCCACATCTTGGCTCACCCCCCCACCCTTTTCCTCCCCAACCAGATCAACAATGGCGCGGCGTAATCTACTCCTATGCTTCGACGCCTTCGAGACTCTGTTTCACCCAAAGAGACCAGTGGCCGAACAATATGCAATAGTTGCACGGCAATGCGGGCTTGACGGCTTCACTACTGAAGACGTCCAGGCTTCTTTTAAGAAAGCCTTTTCATCAGAGTCTAAAGCCCATCCGAACTATGGCAAGGCCAACGGCATGGGTGCCCCAAGGTGGTGGACCAACGTCAGCATCACAGCCCTCGCTTCCTTTTGACTATGAGAACCGTAACTGATACGCCACCAGGTGATCACCAAAACCTTTCAACCCCTCGCGGGCAACAGTGCAGAACTACCCAAGGATCTGGCCTCCAAACTCCTGCACCGCTTCGCCTCAGACGAAGGATACACCCTCTCTCCCGGCGTGGCCCCGCTGCTCCGATCACTCAAACAACCACCACCATCACCCCCGTCCCAATGGGTCCCCCCCACAATAGGCGTCATCACCAACTCCGACGACCGCGTCCCCTCCATCCTCTCCTCCCTCGGCCTGCGCGTGCGCCCCCTGCGCTTCGGCACAGACTCCCACCACACAGACCTCTCCAGCAACCCCGACCACCGCCAGCAGCACATACATGGAGGTGACTACGACATCGACCTCCACGCCATGTCCTACGATGTCGGCTTTGCCAAACCCGACCGCCGCATCTTTGACGCCGCGGAGGGTCTCGCTAATGAACTGGCTGTCGCTGCTGGTGCTGGTACTACTACTACTAGGTCTGGGTCCGAGACGGGTACAGTTCTGCCGTGGTTGAAGGTGTACGTGGGTGATGAGTATGCAAAGGATGTGGTGGGGGCGTTGGGGGCGGGATGGAATGCGGTGCTGGTTGATGATGGTGCGGGACCTGGGCGGGGGGAGGAGGAGAGCTTGGAACGGTTGGGGGGTGAGCCGCTGGAGCAGGTGTTTCCGTTAGGTGGTGAGCCGAGGGCGGTGCGTGCCGGGAATGTGCAGGAGGTGCTCGAGTGGTTGGGGAAAGAGGTCAACAGGGGGTAGGGAAGAGAGTTTTGGAGAGGGAGTGTGCTCATATCGGGGGGTTGGGATCATGGAGTTCTTCGTGATGTTTTGTGGTCCAAACTCTTGATAGTCGTCACACTCGTTTATGTTTATGTACAAACTTCTCTAGCAAACCCGCCTCGGTACCCTGAAGCGGTTGGTAACTATGTACAAGAATAAAACAATCCTCCTGAGGGGCAACACATTAGACACGCCCCTGGCCATCACCCGCTTAGAAGGGAGGGTTGGCGTTGGTGAGCAGCTGCTCGAAGTAGGCCTGGAACCACTGGCCGGCCTCGGGGGCGGGCTTGAGGGCATCGGCCAGACCGCAGTTGTGGTCGTAGCGGGCAGCGGTGGTGTCGCTGGTGCCGTCGCACTCACCGCCGGGCTTGATCCAGACGAAAGCGTCGAGCAGGTCGTGGCCGGTGTTGGCCGAGGGGCGCTGGCCGAAGCCAGTGCCGACGGCGTTGCACCAGTGGCCCCACTCGAGTTGGCCTGTGGATGTGATGTTAGATATTGTTTCAATGCATAATGTGCAGGGGGATTAAGGCAGAAACATACCAGTGGGCTGCTTGCCGCTGCGGCCAGTATCGGTGATGAAGTGAGCGGGGAAGCCGGCGGCGGTGAGGAGCGGGCTGAAGGCCTCGACGTAGTGCTTCTCATCGTAGTTGGGGTTGGGCGAGGTGTAGGCCGGGGCCGAGGAGACACTCCAGGCGTTGTAGTTGGCAACGTTGGTGGCCAGACCACGGACGGCAGCGGGCCTGCCAGCGTCCTTGTAGAGAGTGGCGAACAGGTCAGCAGCGGGCTGGATGTTGGCGGGCCAACCGAGCCAGCCGGCGTGGCCGGCGTCAAGGTACATGGCGACGTTGGGCAGGTTCAGCTCCTTGAGAGCGTGGATGGTCAGCTCCTTGTAGGTCGAGGCAGCGCCGGCGCACTTGGCAACGCCCATGTTGGTGACCATGTTGGCAAGCGAATCGGGCTCGATGACCAGGAGCATGCGGATGTCCGAGTACTGGATGATCAGCTCACGGATCCGCTTGATGTAGGCCTTGTAGTTGGCGGCACCGCCGTTGGCGATCGACCACTCGCCGTTGGAGGCGGCAGCGGCGCAGTCACGATCCGGGAGATCGTAGACCACGAAGATACTTTTCATCCGGTTAGAAATGTAAAAGACGCCGGGGGGAGTTCGTGATCACTTACCCAGCATACGGCGGGCTGGCACCGGCCTGGTTGGCAGCACGAATCTGCGCCAGGGTTCCAGAGAACAAAGTGTCGACAGTGACGTTGCGATCCATCCACTGGTAGCTGGGGACCTCGGCAACCTTGGCAGCCTTGGTGGCCATGGCGCCGGTCAGGCTAGGCATGGCGAGGGTGTGGACCTCGGACCTGTAGTAGTCGTTGGCCCACATCTGAACACCCGAGAAGGGGTTGCCAGTGTAGCTCGCCGTCGACGAGGCACCGCCGGGGATGCTAGTGGGGGGGTTGGTAACCACCGGAGGGCTGCTGGTGGAAGAAGAAACGCCACCGCCCTGGGAGGTGCTGGTGCTGCGGCTGCTGGTGCTGGTGCTGGTGCTGGTGCTAGTCGGCTTGGTGGTAGTACCAGGAGTCGTCACCGCGCCACCCGGGAGGCACTGGGAGTACCAGTCGTTCTGCTTGGTGCAAGTCGACCCGGAAGCGCAGCAAGTTGCGCCGTTCCATCCATTACCGCCACACTGGCCCCTATTGAAACATATTGTTGTTAGCTACTTATGCATCGATCGAACCAAGACATGTATGTCCGTACCAGAGGGTAGCGCAGTTCTGGCGCTCCTCGACGACAGGGGCAGCCAGGGCAGTCGCCGCGAGAGCGGCAGCGAGGAAGAGCTTAGCGGCCATTGTGTGAAGCTACTATCAGACAAAGCAACAAAGCTGTCTTGAATGGCGGATGAGGTGCTGGAGAAGGGGAAGACGGACAAGAGGAGAGGAGCAGCCCTCTTCCCCTTTATGGTTCAACTGCTGGCCAAGAAGAGACGCGACGAAGGGCGTCGAAACACGGAACCAACGCAGAAGAGACGGATCAACGGGAACATGGACCCGGATGTCCTGGCCTGAACCCGACGGAACAAGGCCAGCGCTAGGTGCGATCCCCGACATAAACTTCCCTACTCGGCATAACCCGCACGGAGGGCCAAGGCGTCCCCCCAGATACCAAGCGTCAACCGAGCGCACATTATGGGAAAAGCGTCCCGGTAACGCCACCGGAGGAGGTCCTTGGCCGAGTGCATCGTCAACGGTCAGGGTGGAGTCGCAGTTAGGAAGAAAGAGGGGCCCGAGAACCGGGACGAGGCCTCAGAGGTTGGTTGCACAGGAAAAGCCACAATCTCCGCCAACCAGGTTTTGGTCAAGAGCATCGTGGTGGAACCGGGTTACGGTCGGCAGCCCTTCATTAACGTGGGGCTCGATCTGGGCTGACCAAATCGCGGAACTCACGTTCCTGAATATCCGTGAATGGAAGAGCGCGGCTCTGGCCGGCGGGGCGGTTGACGAGGACAGGGGTGGTCGAAGGGGGGGCATGGGGGGACGGACAGGGGTAGTCAGTGGTAGACTGTAGTATTAGTCCGCTGGACGGTTCTCTGCGGCTCTGCCGAGACCAGAGTCACCAGACGGAAGACCGGGAAGAGATACGCCAAGCTCCGGCACGCTGTTGCATTGTTAGGGCATGCGGCTTGCTATGGGCGCGGAAATCGGGATGCTGACCAGGCGTGCCGATTCTTGGGAAACGCCGCAATCACGCGCTTTCCCCGGCCAGCACCATCCGGGGTCCCAAAGAAGAAGAAGAATTCTTAGACACCGGCTCTGGGCGCATCTAGCTTCCGCACGGCCTCTCCGCTTCCCCGCAGAATCCCAGCTTAGCTCACTGGGCATACAGGGCTCCTGGCACTTCGAAGCTGGCTCTGCCCGGAAAAAGCAAGGAGGGAAAAGATTCAGGAAGGGAGACAGAAGGAAATGAAACGAAGGGAAGACCGACAAATAACAGATAAAGGAAAAGGAACAGAATAGAAAAGGAAAAGGAAAAGGGAAAGGAGTAAAGAAAACCGAGGCGAAAAGGAAAAAGCAAATAGAATCCATATAAGAAAAGAGGCAAAGTAAAATAAGAAAAATACAAGCATTCAGAGTGGAAACACAGTTTCTTGAAGCTGGCTTTCGTTTCGTCCCTGAAGACGGAAAAGGTTTGGTCGATATTTACCTGGGTCCTTGGGTTCAGCTTTTTCGGCCGAGGGGGTGGGGTCTCTGGGCAGCTGGGTGACAAACGCCCTCGCCAAAACGAAGGATGAGAGCTTATTTTAAGCAGGGGATGTGTCTTGTTTCATATCTGCGTAGCGCTGAATAATTATTAGGTATCTAGTTATAGTTAATACATAGTTAGCACAGAGAAATGGTGAAGACTATTCGTAGACTTGTCACTTTTCATTCATTCTGAAACAACCCTTTCATCGATTACTACTGCACATTTCTCGCGGGAGAAGCTCTTCCGTATCCGCCTGCCAAATCTATTCTTTCATTTAGTTCAAAGATCAGACCAAGGAAGCTACTCGCCCGACTAATTCTGAGCTACACCCGCAGTCCAGAGTATCCCCCCAAGCAGCTGGCCCATAAACCACTCGTCCTCGTATGCCTCGTCAAAGTGGCCAAGCGATGTGTAGTAGCTGCGGCCCCCGTCAAACGTCTGGCACCACGCGATGGGGTGATCCTCTCCGTGCACCCCACCCTTGTACGATTCCTCGTCCACTGTCAAGAGCACGTTCAGGTCGTTGTAAGTCGTCCGGGGGTGCGCCTTAAAATTGTACCACTCGTCCATCCAGGTGAGTTCCGTCTGCGCTTCCTGCGACTTGTCCGCAGACCGGCTATCGCCATGGACCTGGACGCACCGGCACGTCATGATGGGATGGTCGCGGTTCTCAACCTTCAGTCGGCCGAGCTGGGGCTCCGGGTGGTTGTCGAAGACGCCGCCGATGAGGCCAGCGTACCACTCGGATGAGACCATAGCGTAGCTGGCACAGTGGATGGCCACAACACCCCCGCCCGACCGCACAAATCCCTTGAGGGCATCGAGTTGGCTGTCGTCGAGGACGTTGCCGGAACACTGCAGAAGGACGATGACGCGGTACGCGGCGAGCGAGGCTGGCGTAAACACGGAGGGGTCTTCCGTTGTGTCGGCCGAGAATGGGTTTTCTCCGGTGCTCGAGGCCGCTGCGAGGCGTTGCAGGCCTTGGATACCGGCTGGGATCGACTCGTGCCGGTACAGCACGGTTCGGCTGAAGATGAGCATCTTGAAGGGAGATGACATGGTGGGTTGGGGAGGTGTTTTGCCGTTGGGTGTAACTAATCGCGGTTTCGTAGTCTGACGGAGGGGATATATGCACTGACTCAAGTAGCCGTGTAATGGAGAGCTGATCGCCGGACGAAGACATCCGATGGTTATCCCCTGTGCGGGGTAAACAGTTGTGTGGGACTTGGTTAGTCATTTTTTGGCTGGATAAATCCGAAAGCTCATTCATGTCAAGCAAGTTTGAGGATGAGCAACGGAAACAAGAAAAGATCAACAGTATCGGAGTTAGGGTAAGAACTCGGAAGGGGGAAAGGGCAGGAAAAGCAATATCAACAAAAGCGGACAAAGGGCACAGGCATGAGCTAGGGGGTTCAAATAACGTATAAAGGCCAAGACAGCGGGATATTAATAGCTAAAATAAACAATGATCATAGCGGCGATAGTACGCCCGAAAGGTAATGGCTACCTTTTTTCTGAAACCCCTTTCTTTGTTCAGACAAGACCATACGGGCAGCCAGGCACAAGTAGTATTATTAAACGGGAGAACCCGGCCAATGACCAGCGGAACCAGGTAGGAGGTTTCTTCTGGTACAATGGAGCCCAGGTAAAGTCTATGATGCTGATACTAATCTCGAGATATACTATGCCATACCGCTCCCAGGATTCAACCACCCCTAACATCATCCGAGTCATACACCAAGTCAAGCCTCCCCTCCAAAACGCGATCCACACCAGCTTTCACCCCCGCACAAAACTCCTGCCCGTAAAACATCAGGCCCAGTTCCTGACTAGTAAAAATGCTGGCACGGTCAAGATTGCCTGAGCCAAGCACCGTATATTCAGAATCGACAACCGTCAGCTTCAAATGCGAGTGGACCGGCTCTTCACTTTCAGCTGACCCCTCACCCTGGGCAGGCTGCACCTTGGCCCTGAAGTATGAGATTCGAAGATGACCAACCTCGCGCGCAGCTTCAAGATCACCATGTCCCGCAGCGCCCTCCCCGTGCCTCACAATAGTTCCACCCATCGCTGCGGCCTTGAGCTGGCCAAAGCGGCGGATAAAGGACCGGAGACTCCAAGCGGTGGTGGTGCCCGCCGTAACAAGCTGCTCGAGCACCATCATGTTGCGGTTCGTCACGACAGTGACATCGACACCCCGCTCCAGGGCACCGAGGAGGGCCGTGATGACAGCCTCGCAGGTGATGTTGGGAGTTTGGATGTAGATGGACCGTTGGGCTTGCTCGAAAAGAAGGAGTAGCGCCGTGTTGAGAGGGGTGCTGGGGGGAGTGGGTGAGGTCTGCCAGGGGAAGGGGCGGAAACGTGGGTTGCGGTGGTGTGAGGAGGGGAGGAGGAGTGTTGGCACCGGCTCCCGAGGCTGGAAGTCTGTGCGATGGTGGGCGGTGCTGGATATCAAAGTAAGGTTTGCTGCGCGGCCGTCGAAAGTCGCGTGGCTCGTATCGCCATTTTCGCCCGAGGCCGGTTGGAAACCTAGAGGTTCTCCCCACGTCCGGGTGTAGAAAGCGAAGAGCGCCTGGACTGCATTCCCTCTTAGCTCCACGCAGCCCTCTAGCCAGGGCTCCCAGCTGACGTTGCAGCTTGGCACAAGTGCCCGTTGTCTATCGATGATAACAAACTTTGGATGCATAACGCTAAACGGAAGGAAGAATAGACTCTTGACTTGAAGCTGAATACCCCCCGCTTCGAGGAGCGCGGGCTCCGGCAAACCGAGCTTCTTCTGCCATGACGAAGGTAGGTAGACATGACCATTGGACGATTGTGTGTGTAGTAATTTCTGGAACAGAGACCGGGATGACAGGCATATGCGAACCTGTAACGGGGGAATCGCTGCCGAGCCCTGTGATCGTGCCCCTTCAATGAGAAGGCGGCGGTGTTCTGCGAGCTTGCTGAGGGCGTCATGAAGTGCCGTTAATGTTTTGGACGGTGCCCAAAAGCAGGTGACGAGAATGACCTCATGGCGGGCAGACGTAATGGTTGGTACCAGTTTATCGGTAAAAATGGAAGCCCCGGTGCCAAGTTGGAAACTCTCAGGTTGGCTGTTGGTCACCAACAGCTCTCGCTCAGAAGCGTCATGGTAATCGTAGCTCGGAATGTCGCGATTGGGCGGGCGCAACCCTCCTGCAGAGCTTGATTCAAGCCGCCGAATGAATTCATGGACAAAACTTGGTGGATAGTTCATATCGCAACTCCTGCGCCCTCAGGGGGCGGATCAACAAAAGGGGTTTCAATGATCCAAACAAACAACCAAAGAAATGAATGCCAACAACAAACCCTCGGCTCGGCAGGCACTGCATGGCCCCCTTCCTGCGGCTGACGAGACGAACACGTTTATGGGTTAGCGGCTGAATACAAGGGTCTCGAACCAGACGAACCCCAGACAGACCTGATCCCCTTATTCGTCAGATGCAATGGATGTTCCACCGCCACGCGTGCTTGTTAAATAGCGCGGAGCGGCTGCCTTGGCCCTGCTCGTGAAACTCTGCCGCAAATTCCACGCGGGGGGAGTGTTTTTGGCCATTTGCATTCGCCTCAAGGGCGACGGTAACCGAATAAACGTAAGACCCGTCCTCTAAGACGGCCTAGGATCATGGCGTACAATGGCCCACCGTTCTCCGGGACCCCTCCTGTTGCCCCTTCGGTCGAGTCGCGGCATTACACCCCTTACCGGCCACCTGGTCAGCAGCAGCAGCAGGAACAACAGCAGCAGGTCCGGTACCATCCCGGGGCTTCACCTGGCTTTCAACCCCCCCAACAGTCTCAGCATGTTTTGCAACATAATTACCAGCCGCTACCTTCTCCTCACCAAGCAGATGACCTTCCGCCCGCTATGGCTGCCATGACCATTGACGGCGTAACCCCAGCTCCGCTCCGTCTGCAGCGAAAACCGGTAGCTGGCCCCGGTATGTCTTCCGAGGGGCCGCCGGTTGCGCAGACACAGCAACCCCAAAGCCCGCCACCAACTCATCCTCAATCCGGGTATTTTTCAATGCCAACCCCAGCTCCAAGTCCGTACGTTGCAAACGCCCAATCTCACCCCCCGCTACAACAACAATACGGATCCTATTATCCTCCTCAATTCCCGGCGTCGCCTCCTCCGCAACAATGGCATGGAGGGCCAGCCTATGCAGCGCCCAGTCAAGCAACCCCTCCTGCTCTTTACGAAATTGAAAGCCCTCCTAGCAGCTCATCTTATCAAGCATTCCCCGTGGCGGGTGTGGCGCCGTCGATACCGCCTAAGGTATTCCAGCCAGTCCAGACTTTTATTGCTGAGTTGGAGGGATCAGAACCCCCGGGGCCTGGCGATGGCCAGAATACTGCTGCCAAAGACTCCTCAGCGACGCCCAGTGTCAGACCCGAAGCCCAGTCTCTCCGAAGATTCCAAAGTTACTCACGCAGCTGAATCGGACCCCCTTGTGAACTCAACCTCGGACCCTCCCAGCAAATCACCCGAAGCCGAGCCTCAACAGGTCCCTGATCAAGATACACCTTCAGATCCGGTTCTTAGCATGGCGGATAGTGAAGGCCTCATAGTTGTGGAAAAGCCTCCGCCACCTGACCACGAAGGGCTCATCCTATCCGACGCGACTCCGGGCTCTATCGCGAATAACTCACATCCTGGCCACACTCTTCAGTCACCCGAACACCCAGCTTCAGTCTCGCCATACCCGGGACCCATTGCGAACATCGTACACCAATGGCCGTGGCACCCGTCTCTGAACGGTCCTAATTCCCAACATGTTGCGCCACAGGATCAGTCGTCCCCCTCACCTGCATCTCCGGCCGTCAGCCTCCATCTGCAACAAGGTACACCGGCATCTCATCCCACACCACCGCCTTATCCTTTCCCAGCAACCGGTACACCCCCTCCGCCGCCTTTGGCGTCGCCAACAACAGGAAATCCAATCTCTCGGCCCCATTCAACCACGTTCTCCACTGTCCACTCTCACTCACCCTCCCCCAGCCCTCAGGGGTCTCAAACTGGGGCGGCAGCAACCACAAGTCTTCCTCCACCTCCACCCCCCCAACAAGCTTCACATGTGCCAGCTGCGCCATCATATACACCAGCAGCTTTCCCAAGCAAGCCCAACACTTTTCCAATCCCCGCTACTCCATCTGGTCACGGCACGGCACCGGCGTCCCATCCATCAGCAATTCCTTCCACGCCGTCCATCACGGGCTCCCAACACAGTTTCTCGGCACCTCCGCAGCAATCAGCGTCTAAGCCGGCCAGGCATTCTGGGGCGAGCACGAGCTTCGGTGGATTTGCTAACTCTGTCTTCAGCAAAGACACAGTCAAATGGAGCAAGAAAACGGCGAGCCGGTTTGGCGGTGCCATCAAGACGGCCGCAACCTCAGCTCACGCGGCCGCCACGAATGCCCAAACCGCTGCTTCGCAAGCTGCTGCGTTGCATAGGCAAAAGTCGTTTGCCGCTGCCCAGATGAAAGCATCCTCGGGAGGCCAGGGAGGGGCCACCCCTCAACCGACGACAGCGACGACGACGGGTGCGCCGAGCCAACCCTCTCCAAATACTGCTAGGATACCGGCTCCTGCTGCAACTCCTAGTCCTCCAGTTTATGGCCCACAAGGAAGCAATCCCGCTCAGGTGGGAATGAACGCGGCACCAGGGGGGGTTGGGTACGCGGCACCGCATAGTCAGGGGCCTCCCGTTTGGCCCTCCGGGATCGCGGCTGGTGTAAACATGGGAAGCCCTGGGATACCTGCAGCAGCCAGCATAGGGCCACAGCCAGGAGCGCCTCCTCCACCTTTCCAGCGCTCTAACCTTGGAGCCGCCGTCCCCGGCTACTACCCACAGCCCTTTGCCGGGCAGCCCCCCTATCCCAATCAACAGCAACAACAACCTTGGTTACCCAGTGCCCCTACCACTGGACATCCAGGGAACGTAGCAAATGCCCCCCCGGCACCTGGAGCTGCCACTACACCGGGAGGGCCTACAGCACAACCATCCCCCCCTCCGCCTCAGATGGGTCCCTCTGCTCAGACCAATCCCCAGGGTCCAGAGGCATCTTACCAACATTCGCCACCAGTTATCCTCCCCTCGGGGACACAAGAGACGCCTCCAGCCCAACCCCAGGATACCAATACCCAGATTCAGGATCCTCAGCCCAAGCCATCCGAGGATAATGCAGCTACAAAAACAGAGGCTGCACCAGATTCACCAGCTCCAAGCGATAAAGCGGGAACCGGAACCACAAACCGACAAGTCCCCTCGGTCATCAAGTGACGTGCCAGCTCCAGATACATCTGATGGTGTTGGGCGGCAGACGCCCAAGCCGGATACATCACATCAACACAACGAATCACCGGCGATAGCGACAATTGCTTCGTCAACTCCCGGGCAAGCAACTGAAGGGCAATCCGTTCACTCTGGGCAGCCCCCGCCCCAGCCCCAGCCGAGCAATCCCGCCACCAGCCTTCCCCATTCTACCCAAGGACAACCTCCGCCTTCAACCGTCCATCCATCACCCGGTTATCACCAGGGATCGGGTGGCGGCCCTGTGTATCCGTACACCTATGGGCAACACTCGCAACCACAACCCTCCGGCTACGCTAACCCTCCCGGCCCAAGTCCAGCGACACCAGCGCCAGGGGGTATGATCCAGCCGGTGGGAGGGCAGCCCCCTCAACAGTACCCATACCCGGCCAACGTGCCTCAACAACACACCTGGAATCCCGGAAGTCCACCTCCGCAACAAACAACCTGGGGGCCACCCGCAGCACCGGTTGCGGGTCAAGGACGGCCCGTTCAACCCACTTATGCCCAGCAGCCATGGGGTCAGCGGCAATTCAGGAGTTGGGGCGCCGCCATACCATGGATCTCCAGGCTATGGGCCAGACCCAAACTAATCCAACGCAACAAGCGAATAGCCCTCCCGCAACCTCAGTATGCAACGCCTCAACCGCCGACTCAATACGGGATGGCTCCACCCCCTCAACTGCAAGCGCCCGGACAACAACCCGCCCCTTGGACCACGCCCAACGCTGCCCCTTACTCAGCCCCAGTACCCAACCCAGCGGCAGCAAACTGGCAACAACAGCAACAACCACAACAACCCCCTCCACAATGGCACACACCGGGCCCCCAGCAGCCGGCTTGGGGCCCACCACCCGGTCCAATACAGCCGGTACCTTCTCCGTACCCCCAACCAAACAACACCTATCCCCAACCCGCAGCCGCGTGGGATCCCAACGCCCAGCAACCCCAACCGTGGCCCCAACCCCAGCAACCATGGTCACATCCCCAGTGAGCCACCACCCACCGGCCCAAGCAGCCTCCCCGTCCGACCTCCAACTCGACACAATAACCACCCAAGATCTCAGAGGAGTGAGGGGAGGGGGGCTCGTAGGAATGGAAAGGGTGACAGTGTTGGGAAAGATGGCTAGAAACACTCTGGCTTTGAGGTCTCTGGGGTTGGTAGCATAGGAGCCGGGAGAAGATGAAGGGCAGCGGGAGAGGACGAGCTTGGGCGTTGCTCGTTCAGGTACTCGTTCTCAAGCCTAGAGCCCAGAAAAGGAGTGACGTTTTTCTTTTTTGTAGATACGAGCGGTCATTCAATGTCTAGTCAGCATACCCACGAACTATGAGAAAAGAGAGGTTGTTTCTTCGACTCCGGCAGTCTTTTTCCCTTAAAAGGAAAAGGGGCCTGTCGGCTGCTTAGGTTGGGTTAAGTACACCGCCGCTGTCGCGGTCCCTAACAACATGCAACACCCCTTGTCAACTGACGAGGTCGGTCGGTGCTCAAGGGGTATATCGCCTCTACATGTTCTATCTGGATGGGCTATTTACGGCACCTGATGATTCCTTTTTTTATCTCTTTATGTAATGATCTGAGCCAAGAGCTGATCCAAGAACTGTTGCGTTGCCGTGTAAAGGTTTTCGAGCTCTGATTCTCCCACTGGAAAGTCAGCGAACCATGTTCTCGCTTTTGAGCAGGAAGCGAAAGATTGAAGTTCAACTTACTATCGATGCCTCGACGCTGGGTGGCCCATCGAACAAAGTGCTTCGTGCGTCTCGTACCAACGGCGGCGACTTTGAGCCTCTGCCGCCCAGGCTTGATGCCCGCCCACCCCAAGATCGTGTCATCAAATCCCAGAAGGTCTGGTTCCGGGAAATCCGCTGCGCCCTGGCCAACTGCCTGTGCCTGTTGGTCAAATGCGTGCTCGCTTTGGTATCTATGTTGAGACCGCAAATCGCTTGGCCGGCTTCGCGAATTTCAGCCTTCCAACTCCTTCAACTTGAAGGCTTCAAGTCTTCAATTACCAGCCTCACAAACGAGTCTTTAAGCAACTGTTTGTGACAATAGTTGCCTGAGCCCAATCGACGGCGATTGTGCTTTGTAATATAACGCACTCAGGGGCTTGGCCGGAGGTCCCGCCCTCAAGACTCCCCTGGACACGACAAATTGATCCTCCCCAGTATAACAGGGCTGAAGAGAACCCCGAGCGTGAAAAAGAACACCGAGGTTTCTAACCGCTAACGCGGCGCCTTTCATGCGAGCATGGAATGCCGCGTGCTCGAGCAAGAGAATCCGGATTAATTCCCATGGGAAAAGTGGGCACACATGATCAACATACCTGCCGTACACGCACTCGTCCGCAAAGTGGTCGCGTATTTGGCTACTATTATCCCACTCACGAACCAACGGATAGACCATATGGTCCATAAGCTGGATGAGGGCTTCGAGATGGTCCTGCGACGGCGGCTCGACCCTGGAGACGACGCTGAGAGCAAAGGATATTATTATTTCTCTTATCACGCTAGGTACTAAGTACATGCGGTCCCTCAGCGATTAACTCGGTAGGAAAAACCATGCCTAAGCTGGATGAAAACCTCCGCACCTCCGCTGCGGCCTTGCCGCTACCCCGTGGATCCATCTCCTCGAAAGGGCTCACCCACCTTCCGAGGTCAAAGTAACGAAATAGATAAAATGAGTCGTAACCTCTGTTCCATCGATGCCCTTCTGCTACTCCGCTTCGGCCCCGCCGCGGGCCTCTTCGTTGTTCTCATTTTCCAGCTTCTACCGCCAGCCGGAACTCGTTCAGCCTCCCCAGCCCAAGCACCCCACCCCACCACTATGGCAGCCTTCTCCACGTCATCTAGCCACTCCAGTAGCTCTGCGCCGTCGTCTGGCCAGGGATGAGGTTTATCTGCGGCTCCGTTGCATTCGAGTACGAGGTGTTCGAATGTCTCGCGCGCCATACCGCAGCGGCATACCGGCGTTACTACCTCGGGGACCCTCCTAGTAAAGAGGAACCCTCGAAGCCCAATCTTCCCGGTCCTCGCTTGCACTAGGAGAGTACTCTTCGCCTTCGATAGCTCCCAGGCTGGGTCCCTCGACCGGTGTCGGTTCATGATAGAGGCGTCGAACCGCGCGGTCGCATCGGCCGGTTCGAGGGCCCGCCCCCGGGTTCCTAGCGACCACCCTAGCTACCTCACTCTCCCATCTTCCAATCCACTCCCTTCTCATTGCCTCCTCCATCCACCTCTCGAGCTGTTCTCTTGTGGTTTGGTACTGGGCCCGGTTGACCCTGGCTCTAGCTCCTCCTTCTTCCGGCCTCGACTCGAGGGGGGCCCACTCCTGTGCCCACCTCTTCTTCCATTCTCCTGAGCCTTTTTCCGCTGGTGCCGTTGCTATATCGTCTATCTCCCGCCGAGGTCTTCCCCTCCCCCTTCTGCGCCTCCGCCGCAGGATCGCAGCGATTGTGGCAGGGGTCTGGCGGATTAGCCTCGCCTCCTCTGATATCCTAACCCGATCCTCGAAGGCAAGGAGCCTCCTGTTGAGGTACAGGTCGATGGGTGGGCAATAGGTTTCTGTCTCCAAGCTCCGTATTGGGGTAGTCTTGTAGGCCCCAGCGACCACCCTGAGGCACTCCGATTGGATCTTTGCGAGTTCCTTTGCGGCCCCGCGGGGGGGGCCCCCTACCTCTGTAGGGGTGTGGAAAGGCTGAGGCTCCATACGCGATCGCACTGCGGATCACTTTCGAGTAGATCTCCCTCGCCCTCGCGAAGGTACACCCCCACGTCTTTGCCGCGAGCCTTGTTAGGGCACAGGTCTGGGTCTTCATCTTCTTCCTCACCGCCGCGAGGTGTGCGCGGTACCTCAGCTTCCTATCGAGCCAAACCCCAAGGAATCTAGCATCCTCAACTGGTTTCAGCTCTACCCCCCCGATCGTTAGGGTCTTCTCGATCGGGGCCCTTGCTCTCGAAAAGTGGATTAGTTCGCTCTTCGCTGGCTCGAATTCCATACCCCTCTCTGCTGCCCAACCTGCACAGTGTCCCCAGGCCTCCGCTAGGATGCCGCAGGTACCCTCCGTCGTCTCCGCTACGGCCAGGATATTTGTGTCGTCTGCGAACCCTACCACGATTGCCCCCCTTACTATCTCGAGCCTCTTGTAGAGTGTTGAGATAAACAGAAGGAAGAGGATTGGGGAGAGGGGGGACCCCTGCGGGACCCCTGCGGGACCCCTGCGGCCACCTCGTACCTTTCGGACATCGTCCCATCGAACCAGAGTTTTGCCGACCTCCCAGCGGTGAACGAATCGACCCATCTAAGGGTCCACAGCGGGACCCCCAGTTCTCTAAGGGTCCTTGTGAGCCATCCGTGGTGTACCCTATCGAAGGCCCCTTTGAGGTCTAGTTGAAGGAGAGATGCGTTCGCCTTATGCCGCCAGGTCTCGTGTACGGCATCCGTGACCACCCTGATCGCGAATTCCGTGGAGCGGCCGCTGCGGTTCCCCATCTGCCCCTCGGGGAGCCATCCCTGCTTCTCCGCTTCCCGGGAGAGGCGTTCTGCGATTACCATTTCGACGACTTTCCCAACGCTGCTGAGGAGGGTGATCGGCCTCCAGGCGCCCGCTGTTTTTTGTTGCTCCTCTGACTTACCGGGCTTCCTAAGTACCACTACTCTTCCGCTGCGAAATCGCCGCGGGAACACTCCGTGCGCGAGGCTCCCTCTTGTAAGGACCGCCATTGCGTTGTAGAGGGGTTCGCCGCAGGCCTTTTAAGAACCCGTTGGAAAGTCCATCCTCCCCAGGTGCCTTGTTGTTTGCTGTTCTTGCCAGGGTCTTTCTAATATCCTCGTTGGTCACTTCCTGGTGGAGGAACTCGTACTCCTTATCGGGCCCGTGGCTATATCCCCGCGGCCCCGGGTCGACTCCTGGTATAACGGTAGGGAAGAACCGGTCTGCGAGAAACTAGACTTCTCCCCATGCGTCTCTGCTGTGCCTCCGTCCTCCTTGGTCAGGGAGGGGATCTTTGGTGGTGCCGCCGCGATATGGCTTCGGAGCCTCGCCCACCTCTCTATAGCCCACAGAATACTGGGGGTCGGCCGATGCTTCGTGGATACCCTGCCTCCAGCACTTCGTCTGCGACCTTCTGATGATAGCTCTCTGTGCTCTCCTCGCCTCTTCGAGTTCTTCGCGGCGCCACGGCGTCCTCACAGCTCTCCAGTCTCGGAAGGCTTTTCGCGTTCTCCTCGTCGCGTTCTTGACTTTAATGTTCCACCAGATGGCCTGCCTTCCGCTACTACGCTTTCTCTGTGGGACCGCCTCGTTCGCGATTCCAATTAGCTCCTCTAGTAGTTTGTTGAAGGAGGGTTCCACTTGCTCCGGGTGTTCGATTCGTTCGGGGACAGTGATCCTAGCTTTCGCTAGCTCTTCGACTTGCTCCTCGTTCATTAAGCCCCAGCTCCAGCCCTCTAGGACTTCGCTACGCTCTCTTTTCTGCCCTGCCTCTCGTCGTAGACCGAGATTCGTTGTGGGACATGGTCTGACCCCCCTAAGCACGGGTCCCCCGGTCCGTGGTACACCGCTGTAGAGGTTTTTGTGACCCATGCGTGGTCGATGGTGCTGTCTCGCTCCCCCCTTGTTGCGTTCCCGTGATAACCCTACCCGTAGCGGGTAACGTCGCCCCATGGTGTTATAAGGTCGAGCCCCCAGACCTCTGCGAGGCCGTGGAGCAGGCCCACGCCCCGGCTTGTTCTGCCTTCTGCATCCCACATCGGGTGGTGGAGATTCATATCCCCTACAACCACATTACGGCCCCGCGGCTGTCTCTCTGCAAGCTCTTTGAGTGGTGTCTTCCATTGTTCGTATGGTTCCCCTGGCCCCTGGCCTGGGGAGTATACCGACCAGACTGTCAGTGCCTCTTCGGCGCCGCTGTGGAAGGTTACCGCAACCCAGTCATCCCCCCTCTCGAACTCCCAGCTACCCTCCTCGTGCTCCTTACTCACGTATATTAGCGCCCTCCCCCTGCCTGTACTCGTTACTACCCAGTATCGGCAGCCTGCCGGGCAGTATGGGCCACCGTTCGCTCCTACCCCAGGTTCCTGGATTGCTATTCATGTCGTAGCGATCTCTCTGCTCCACCGCATCCCTCACCCTCTCGTACGCCTTCGCAACGTTCCAGTAGAGGATCTTCCACTCTACCATTCCGCGGGGGGGTCAGTTCTCGCGGCCCACGTTTCGGGAGTACCTCCACCACTGCTAGCTCCGGGGGAGCCGTGGACCTGCCGGGTCCGGTTGAGCATTGCTACCACGGAGAGGCCCGTACGCTGCTTTCCCCGCTTGGGGGGGCGCCCAACCGGGCGCCCCAGCATTGCCGTAGCGGTGCCCCTCCGCTTCCGGTTGCTTCTTCTTGGCTGTACCTCTTCGAAACCCCCCTGGGCACTCTCGTGGTCGGCCTCTGTAGGTTCCGTGGGTTGTAGCTGTGTGTCCGCTGTGGTGACTAGGGTGACCAGGGGGGGGAGCAAAGGATAGCAATATACGACTGTCGAGATAATCCACGAAGCTACCCACATTTTCCTTCCACTTCAGCGGAATAGCTTCGGTGGCTTGCGAGACAGACCAGTAGGGAGGCTTCTCTCAGGGGAACGACAGAGCTAGGTACCGTCTTGCCAAGTGTTCGATGTACGCGCGCGCGGCGTCTTCGGTGACCTTAAACTCGTCCGAATCAGGGCGCTTCTCCAAAAAGTCCTTGACAGTCCTGTGAATAAACTGGACAATATAGCCCGACAGAGCCACTTTGCTGCTATCTGAGGGCGGTAAATCCCCGTCCGCATCCGCCTTGACGACTTCTATCAAGGGACCACAAAATCTTGCCAACTGACGACGGAAATCCGGCCACGACGAAATCCTGATTCGGTTTGAACGACAGGATTCTTTTTGGACTTGAGGGCGAGTTCAAGCTCCGCGGGAATCGCGAGTGCATCCCACAGCTCCTCTAGCCTGAGGGGCCGACCAAAAGATCCGGCTCCGGTGACCAAGACAAACACGTTGCGGGTCTTCTGAAGTTCATTTATTCCGAGCCTAGAGCGTAAGCCCTGGATGATTGCTGAGTAGAGATCGTAGAGCCCCAAAGGCAACGACCTCAGCCTGGATTCCAGCTCTTGAAATGTTGACATGCCAGCTGCAGCTGTGACCTGTAAATCATTGAGGATAAGTGTAACCCAGAGAATAATTCCTTGGGCATTCTGGAGTATATACTCGCGAATTCGACCCAAGGAGTCTGCCTCAGATGTCTGGATGTTTTGTAGCGCCCGGAACATCCCTGGGCATGCCCTGGATTTGTTATTGTTGCCATAGCAGGGCACATCCACGTCGCTACCCGAGTCATAGGTGTGCATTGCAGTTTGCAAGGACGCAACCCCATGATTCACCAGAACTTCGATGTCGGTCCTGTTTTCGTTCTCCAGTGTGATTCGGAACGTATGTTCCAGCTCTCGTTGCGCTCGGCGAAAGTCCAACTCGAACAGGGGCTCCGGTCGGCTCAAGAGAACGAATTTCATCTTTGACCCTTCTACTCTAACCACCAAGCGAGCCAAAGCACCTAGGATGGTCCGGGTCTGTTCTGCCGCTGCGCGGCTGGGCCTCGCAACATCGCCTCGGTCGTTGACTTCGCCTCGTCCATGGCATCAACGATACATATCATGGAGGTTCCAGCGGCGCCGACGCGTCTGAGAATGTCTAAGCCGGTGGCCTCAAAGTCCGAGGATGAACACCATGATGGAGATTCCAGTTCCTGGACCGCCGGCACCGGCATTGCGAGGTGTGTTTCAACACCAGCCCTTTGATGTCCAAGGCCCCAGTCGCAAAGGTACTACGGTTCTTTTGGCGTTGCGAAGATGTGGCGGAGAACTTGCGATAGTAATCGACGACGATGTCGCGGAAGACAGACTGCTCCTGGCACAGGATTTGGTAAATCAGGGCACACAAAAGAGAAGAGTGGGACGTGCCCACATCCCCAAGCCGGGTTGAATAGAACCATCCGGCTACGATGGATGCTGGGGAGCTGCCGCGTGACTGGGAATGCTCGGAGATGCCTGGTGCTTCTCGCTCCCATGAGGCAACGATCCGTTTCTGCATAGAACTCGCGAGGACGGACTTGCCACTACCCGGTTTTCCCTCGATCCACAGTATTCCTTGGTTTGCTGCATCCCAGGCCTTGTATTCCGGATGCTCCCAGATCCACAGGTTCGTCCCCTCGTCAGGGTGGTCGATTTGATCCCGGCGCGTGTTCCAGTCGCCGAAGTGCAGCGATGCAACACACTCTGCTCGGAGTCATACTACCATTGATGCTTGTTTATTTGTCCGGGGCTGGCTTACCGTGATACTCGGTGTTGGCTGTCGACCTGCAACACCACCTTCGAGCTCTTCAGTTACATCCACCATGGGCCTGGCCCGACAGGACAACGGGCAGGGACTCTTCCGCACTTCGGTAGCTTTTGTCAAAACGAGATCTGAGCCAGGCAAGAGACAGTTGAGGCCCAGAGGCTTGGATGAGATGCACGTTATCGATAGCGATACAGGCAGGCCTGCTTCCCGTAGAAATTGCTGTTGCGAGCAGCGCCACGCCAATGTCCAGGGTCACTGATTCTGGGTTGTTCGTCGCCAATCGCATCCACCGCCCGTCGGCCGAGTTAAGCATGAGTAGTCGTTGTCCGAGGTCTTCGAAATGGCTGTGATCCACCAAGAATGCCTGGCAAATAAGGGAGACGAGGACGTGATGAGCGGATACGGTGGGCTGGCCCATCCCTCTCTCATCTCTGTCGATGCCAACTCCATCTGACGGCTCTGCGAGACACTGGCAATACAAGCTGCGGGAGAGGCCAGGCTTGTCGCCAGTTCCCGGGAGCCTGTGCGACTGCAGGCCAGAGGGCAAAAACTGGGCTAAAGACGCAACCACCCACCCGCCGGAGCAGCCTCCAGGGTTGGAAGCCAGCCGACAATGTAGGAAAGAACTCGGTCCGTTCTGTGACCACCACGTATCGTATGGCGTAGTATGGGTAAGCCACTGAAGATCCTCGCGCCCCATATGGTTGTCCGGGTGTCGAGGCCCTCCATTGACGCCTTGGCAAATTCGATGATGTCTCCGACCAGGGCATTGGTCCCTAAGTTTGCACTAGTTTTGTCAGTCCATCTTTCTTAGTCTTACCACCGACCTAACGCAGCTTGGACAGCAGGAGGGAAGTCTTACACTCGCGCTCCTGTAACATTGAAGCACACTTCTTTAGCTTGACGAATATGTCCTCCTCCCTAATGCTCATGTACCATTTTTGACAGCCGTCAACGCCATTACACCTGTCCCCCTACGAGCAAAGCCCATCAGCCTCACCGCCGGCGGTGACATTGAACCTGAAGGCGTGGCCGTTGGCAAAAAGCTTCGAGTGGTGCTTCTGGAACACACTTGCCGTGGCTTCGGTGTCGGTCGATAGAGCCTTCAGGGCTTTTGCTAGGCCGGCGACGTCCGGGCCAAAGGAGACGAGGGACGGCAAGTTAGTGCCAATGGAGACAAGGCATTTCACGCGAGCCTCGCCTAAGCCCTCTACGTCGCCCCATATGTCGCCGGCTTCCGTCCACAGATAATTTATAGGGTTGTTGACTCCCGTTGCGCCGTCCACAAAGGTCTCGCTTCCAGTGGTAATGGGATCGAAGAAGGTCGTTGCGGCCGACGTGGCGCGCGCCGCCTCCCATATTTTGGCCTGGGATAGTGCATCGTTGCCACGTCGAGGGCTATGATACGAGGAGAAAACGACTGGGCGGCCGGTCTGTTGGCTTGTCGCACATACGAAACTACAATTATAGATAGCGGGGGTATGGTCAGCCATGAAGTTTGAGACAAGCCCGAAGACGAAATGGACATAAACCGAGTGACGAACACTTTGCAGCAGCTGTCCTCCTCAACTTCTCGCAACCGAGCGTCTGGGGTCTTCTTCAGCAATGCCTTGATCTCCCTCTCCAACGCGATGTGGTCGAAGCGCCCTTGTGTCTCGCCAGTCCAGATGCTGATCCGGTGGTGGACCTTGGTGAAGACTTTGGGCGCCAGCTTGTTGTATGCGAGGATACACTCGTCGACGGTCATGCGCGCCCTTCCTAACATAATGGCAATTAGTCCTCCCGTCGAATTGCCGCCGATCATGTGGAAATAGTCGCAGGTCCGGGGCGGCTGTTGCGGATCGATGGCTTCCATCAACTGTTTGAGGATCATCAGGCTGGACAAGCCCCGCACGCCGCCGCCGTCTAGCGAGAGCAAGCAGAGCTGGTCATCGATATCATTGCGCCGAACGGTGGCCTGTTCGGCTTTGGGCTGGTCATTAGCGGGCATGGGTCGAGTTGGACGGCACTGGGGACAACTGTTGTCGGGTTTGCCCACGGCACGAGGATGTCGTCGTCCATCGCCCAAGGCTTTGATACCTACCTAAATCGACAGTGATTGGCGCGGGGAGTTGGACCCCGCGTGCGGCTGATTCTCACCCATGTGTGGTTGGTTGACACCCGTGATGTGATATTCCGAACATACAAGTACCTGCCTGCCTATAGGTAAACAAACACCGTGTCCGCTCTCTACCTAAAGCTTTTATGCATAAAATGTGAGGAAAAATGTTAAAAACTACGATGACCGTTTCCTCTCGAGCAACCATACACGAAGCGGATTTTTGAGTTCTTGTAAAGGGGGCTTGTGGTTGTCCAAGAGTCCAGCGTCGGCGGCATCGCGTGATTCGTGTCCAGTCAGGAGAAGCCCACCCATATCGAGTGTACACAACATGCCGCCTGGGTATTGACGCATGACATATCAATAAACATGCAGGGTCCCCATGGCCTTTCTAACTTCAAAAAACGTGGACTAAAGCAGCAGCCGAGACATGTTCCAACCTCCTCCATCCCACGCCCCCACAACGTTTATTGACCGGGGCACATGCTCCGTCAACGGCGTGCTCAGTATCTCCGGCGCCCGCACGGGCGGTGTTCGCACGCCATGTCGCTACCAGAACCGTGGGTCTGTGATGTCGTGATCAGTACCCTGCACAGCCGACGTCTATTCCCCAACGTTGCGTGGGGGCGGTGGCCCAATGATGTCGACCGAACAGCCATGTCGCAATTCTAGCGGAAATGTGGCCATGATCAACCGCATCAACAAGCCGCAACGTGAGCTGCAACGGCTGCAGACTGCGGGGTTCTGTAAACCGAGAACCGGATGTTGAGTTGGGGATCAAAGACCCTTGACCTTAGGTCGGCAACGGCCTCTATTTAAGGGGGCGGTGTCACGGACAGAAGATGATCACTTGAATCAGCCAGTCTTGCAATCAACTGCTACACCACTTCCTAGCGTACATACTTTGTGGCCGCCAGTGGGTGTGTAGCTGCCGGAGGATTGCATCTCTAGACGAAGTCCGCTTCGATTGCCGGTCCCACCTCCCCGTTATCATTGCCGTCCTTCCGGATCATAAGGTGACGTCCGAGACACACCTGCTCATATCCCCACACATCTCGGTGTAGCATGTCTGCCGAAGTAACCGGCAAGGCGCCGGACGCCAGCGTACCGGTGCCGCAGAAAGAAGATGGCCCTGAAGTGGGCGGTCTCGACACGAAACTAAAACTCAAGGATGAGTCCGAACCGCCCTCAGGATCCGAGCTAGGGGAGGTTGAGTCAGGCACCATCGACGAGAAAGCCCTGCTCCGCAAGCTCGACTGGCGGTTGATTTCCAGCCGTGGGAGTCTTGTATCTGCTTTCCTTCCTCGACCGCAGCAATGTTGGCAACGCGGCGTATCGAGGGTCTTACGGACTACCTATGCATGACGAGGAACCAGTACCTGACTGGTCTGGACACTGTACTTCATAGGTTACGTTCTCTATGAAGTGAGAATCTGCCGCCTCCTCCTATCATTATGACGAGGCTGATCCTCCCGCCAGGTACGCTGCAACATCATCCTGAAAAGGACAACGCCTCGCTTCTGGCTGCCCACCCTGACCGCTCTGTGGGGTGTGGTGGCAACCCTTATGGGTATTGTTCAGAACTTGACAGGCTTCTTCATCGCCCGATTCTTCCTTGGTGTGACCGAGTCCGGCCTTTTTCCCGGAGTAGTGTACTACTTCTCGATGTGGTATCAGAGACGGGAAAGACAGTTCCGCATATCGCTGTTCTTCGGCGTTGCCGCGTTAGCAGGCTCTTTCGGAGGTATCTTGGCCTATGTCAGTGATCCCATCTACCAATTCGTCAGAGCCAACATACTGATTCTTCATCCGCGCAGGGAATCGGGCATATGGCCGGTGTGGTGTGGGAAAACGGCTGGCGTTGGATTTTCATTCTCGTAAGTTGTGCCGGAGCGTACCCACGCCTTGATTATGACAGTGACTAACTGCACAATAAACAGGAAGGTATCGCCACGGTCCTAGTGGCCATTGCGGCTTACTACTTCATCCACAACTACCCCGAGACGGCCGACTTTCTTACGGAAAATGAGCGCACCTTCATCCGCAACCGCTTGTCCTCGGATAGTGATGCGACCCGCGACGAGCGTTTCACGTGGGACAACGTCCTCAAGGCGCTGCGTGACCCCAAGAGCTGGCTGTACGGGCTGAGCTTCCACGGCATGAGCCTTCCGTTGTACACATTCTCGCTGTTCCTGGTATGTGACCGTTTATGCCAACTCTGGTGATATCTCAGCTAACCCTACCATAGCCCACCATCATCAAGGATCTCGGCTACGAAGCGGCCAACGCACAGCTCCTCACAATCCCGCCCTACGCATTCGCCTTCCTCACCACCATCGGCGTGGCCATCCTCTCCGAACGCACCGGCCACCGCGCCATCCCCATCATCGGCTCGGCGCTGTTCGCCATGATCGGGTACATCATCCTCCTCACCAACTCCGACCCGTCCCACCGGCCGGGCGTCTCGTACCTGGGCACCTTCTTCGCCGCGGGCGGCATCTACCCGGCGACGGCGCTCGCCCTGTCGTGGCCGGCCATCAACGTCTCGGGCCAGACCAAGCGCGCAGTCGCCAACGCCATGCAGATCAGCATCGGAAACTGCGGCGCCGTGATCGGTACCCAGCTGTATCGGTCCGGCGACGGCCCGCGCTACTTTGTCGGCCACAGTTTTGCTCTGGGATACCTATTGTTTGAAATCGTTGTCTCGGTGATATTGTACTACATGCTGAAGAAAGAGAACGAGAGGCGGGAGGCCATCATACCGGAAGTGAAGGAGGTGGGAGAATTGGAAGACTGGAGCGGCGATGAGGACCCAAGATGGCGATTCCAGTACTAATTGATGGGTCCGAATCAATGGTATCGACCCATTGTTTGCCCGCCGGGTGTCAATTATGATGACATGTATAGTTAACGTTGGAAATTAGATGATAAAATAAGTCGGAGACACTGGACTCAAGATTCTCCTTTGTTTGCTACCTGCTCTGACCCCCGCTCGATCGGAACCCGGCCCTTCTCTTTACCGTTTTTGCGAGGCGATGATCACACGATAGCCGGGTACTGAAGTCAGACATTTCATGCATGAATGTCGATCGTGCCCGACGCTCCGGACGGCGGCTATTTCCCCTTGGCGGTTATCATGGGGAAGATCGGCGGTTATAGCGCAATGAACCTGGAAAGTGGTCGATGACCTTGTTGGAAATACCAAGATTTTCTTTGAACACTTGTAGAACCACAGAACCCGTTGAGCCAGTCTCCAAACCTGAGGCTACGAGTTGAACAAAGGAGACAGAGATAACCTTGGCGGGCTAGGGGTATAATTAAAGCATCTCGTGAGAATTTTGATGACCTGGCTCCTTGTCATTGGTTATGGGGAACTCAAAAAAGCCGAAGGAACAACTGCATCTCAGTGTTGGTGCCTTGGGTGCTTCCAACTCGAATCGCAGCCCCGAGTCTAGACTTCTCCCACTCCACCAACCAATTTTGTTTGGCTGACAAGAATACGAACATGAGATGAACGGGACTTGGGCGGACCCACCAACCAACTCGGTGTTCGAAAAGTTGGCCAGACATCTTGGCACGGCTGGAGCCGTTTCTTCTGCCGATCAGCGAGGAAGTTCTAGGCTTTTAGCCCTGCAACCAAGTCATGGTTCGTGCTAAGAAATAACGTCAACCTTCTCCAGACTCCATACCTCGCATATTCACATGGAACGCGGACGGCCCTGAGACCTTTCTGCAAGCCATTTCGCGCGCTTAGGCATCTCTGTTTGGCAGTCTGCGGCAAAGAATGCAGGTGGCCCTGGAGATGTCCAATCCGGGAAAGGGATGCAGTTGATCAGGGACCGGGACGGGAACGAGTTCCAGATTTGGTGTGTGACGTGGTTCCGGCGGCACTGCCATTCGTGCAATTTGTCCGAGGCCTGACTCCAGCGGCAGGGCAGGATGAGCCGATGAAGGGCAGCATCCAATGGACCTCTGTCTGGCCCACAGAGCGTTGAGCGGGCTTGCCACGTCCTGTTGGGCAGGGTTTGTTTCAAAAGAAGCTTCCGCGAGGCCGAGAACGTCCAGGCGCAGCAGTTGCAGACCCCTGGAAATCTCACCCTTGAACGCGAGCCCCTGTGCTTGGCAGGGGACGAGGGGAGGGGAGGTGCCGCCGGGACGCCGCCGGCAGGGTCATGAAAGGAAAAGGATCACAGAAAGAATCTCAAAGGAGAACCCTTTTTCTTCTCTCTTTTTTTCCCTTTGACGCCGATCACCTGCTGACCTTTTTGGCAGCTGACTTCTTTCATAGATAGCCTTTCGTTTTATTTTTTTAACCCTTTTATTGTTGCACACTTATACGCCTCTCCGGCTTTACTTCTTCCACTCTTTTTGGTTGCCCTGTCTGCCCCTGAACTTTGCTCGTTGGTTTCAGAGAGGATTTGACAGCAGTAACTGCGCCCCGTCGCTCGTTGCTTTCACTTGGCTTCTTTCCAATAAACTATTGCAGTTACTCACCTTGGTCAAATATTGAACGAACATGGCCGAAGACGGTCATGCCGCAGGCGGAGCCCCCACTGCTCACGCCGCCCCGGGAGCCCCCGGAGCCGGTGGTCACGGCCCGGCGGACAACCTTGCGATCAACACCCAAATCAAAACCAATGGCAGCGGTCCCAACGGCGTCGCTTTGGAGGAAATTGCGTCCCTGACATCACCTCGTCTCTTCACGCCCAACCCATTCAGTCGCAAGAACACTTCCCTGGATATTGACGACTATTTTGTATGGACCTTTCTCGGCCCCCGGGCCGATGCCCATCCGTGTTGGCTCGCGCTAACCCCTGGCTGCTACAGACCGGACCCCGCGATATCCAGAAGCACTCGAAATGGCCCATCTTCCTACAAATGCACGGCAGCATTCTTCCCAAGCTGATCCTCCCGCTGCTTTCCATTGGCGCGTGGGCGACATGCGTCACATGTATCCATGTGTTGGTCACACCAAGTACGTTTAGACTTTATCCCCCCCGATGCACCCCCCCCCCTGGCGGCACTCGGAACTGACAATTGCTCTCCGAATAGTCAACATCGGCAGCGTGCTCCTTACCGTCCTCGGTTTTGTTGTCGGTCTGGGACTGTCGTTCCGGAGCTCGACCGCATACGAACGCTACGCCGAAGGTCGCCGGTACTGGGCCCAGCTGATCCTGGCGAGCCAGAACCTCGGGCGCGTCTTCTGGGTCCACACGGCCGAGCGGAGCGACATCCCCGAGGACCAACAGGAGCAGCACAAGCGCCGCGACGTGCTCGAGCGGTTGACGGCCATGAACCTGGTGGTGGCCTTCTCCGTCGCCCTCAAGCACCGCCTGCGGTTCGAGCCGTACACGTGCTACGACGACATCGCCAACCTCGTGTCTCACCTCGGCACCTTCGCGCAGGCGGCCACCACGGACGACCCGGACAACGCCCAGCGCGCCTTCAAGCGCCACGGCTTCTTCAAGAGCGTCGGCGAGTACCTGGGCGTCTCCTTCGCCGAGAGCAACCCGCGCAAGGCGGTCAAGAAGGCCGGCCGCCCGCTCGGCAACCTGCCGCTGGAGATTCTCTCGTACCTAGCCAGCTACGCCGACGAGCTCTCCCTGGACGGGCGCCTCCCCATCCCGATGCAGCAGACGACCGTGTACAACAACATCGCGGTGCTCAACGACGTGCTGGTAGGCACGGAGCGCGTGCTCAACACGCCGCTGCCCATCGCCTACGCCATCGCCATCGCGCAGATCACGTGGGTGTACATCCTGGTGCTGCCCTTCCAACTGCTGGGCACGGTGGGCGACCAGACGTGGATCACGATCCCGGCCACGGTGGTGGCGGCCTACATCATCCTGGGCATCCTCTTCATTGGGCGCGAGATCGAGAACCCGTTCGGGCAGGACGTCAACGACCTCCCGCTCGAGGTGTACTGCGCGCAGATCGCGGCCGAAATGGATGTTATTGCTGCCCGGCCCAAGCCCCGCAGCCGCGACTGGATGGAGTCGATCGACAACCGCGTGCTGTGGCCGCTGTCGAGCTCGGGCTGGCCCGTGTGGATGAAGCGGAGCGAGGACAAGATCCGGGAGGCCGTCGTCCACAAGGTCGAGGCCACCTTTGTGAGCCAGAAGGGCAAGGAGGCCGCCGTGCTAAAAGGCCGCGCGCCGTCGGAGAAGGGATATGCTAAGGGGTCTGTGAGTGATGTTTAGGATATGGCTTGACAACGGTGATGCTGTTGTGGGTGGGTGGGTATTGGGTAATCGGCGGAGGCCATGGTTGGTTTTTGTTATGGATGGGAGGGTATAAAAATGCATGGTGTGGCGGCGTCAAACCCCTATTTGGTTTATTCCTATTCATTTTCCCGAGTTTGGTATAATTCCTAGACCAATATGTACGCCATTGAACAAAGTCAAACATTCAGAAGATCGACGCCATCGTTGGGCGTCCCCTTGTCCTCTCCCTGGGTCGTTAGATCCGATAACCCCCAGCCAACATCGACTGCCACCCCCAATCCCGCCCTACCGAAACGGCAGACTCCGGCCAAGTTCCCTGATATCCCTCTCCCTCTCATACTCACCAGCGCTATGCCTATTCGTCACATGATTCACCAGGCCCTCCTCCGACTTGCACAGCGTGTCCCGGTCACGATAGCAATAACACAAGTAGCAAGCATACCCCGAATCCTCCCGGTGACACTG